GACTCCGTATTTTGACAATTTTGCAAAACGATGAGTTTTCACCAATGAAAAATGTTACTTTAGAGTTTCATTTTCCAACATGTTTATTTTCACATATATAAACATTTTCCCAAGTTTTACTATTTTTGGAGTTGATTTGCTATTTTAAAACGAATTTAGAAAATCAAGTTTTTAGCAATTTCAGTATCTAAAATATCAGTCTTCGGTCGACCGATATAAGAGATCATTCGACCGACCAGAGCAGCTTTTACACCCTAAGTTTTACAGTCTAATCAGTGGACCGATTTCCTAGATCAGTTGACCGATTAACGGTAAAATTGTTGTAATTGCTAGTTTATGTCTCTTGTTGTTTGAGAGGCTATAAAAAGCCGTCAAACCTCATTTCTTTTTCATGAATGTTTAACTGAGTTTTTTGACAGTTTGTTTCAAGAGTTTAAGTGTGGTTTGGTTTATGCAAAAAGAGTTTTACAAAGAGAAGGCTTTTAATTTCGATTTTGAGGAGTTCAACCTCAAATCTCTATATCTACATCTCTTTGTTTAGAGAAGTTTTTCTAAACTCATTCTCTAGCTAATTTATATATTGATTATCATATATAAGCTAGATTTACTTGAGTTTAATTTTTATTTTACTTATTTTTTTCACACACACCACTTGAACTTTAGTGTTTCACATTAAGTATATTTGGGTTGTGAGAGTGATTCCTTGAGAGAGCTTACATTTCGTTCTTATTTGTATTTGAGAACAAATCCTTTATTTGCACTCATTGTGAAAACATGTTGTAATACACAAAAATACTTAGAGAAGTGGTTGGAGAGAGATCGGCGTTAATTCCAAGAGGAGTGAGTTGGTAGTAAAGCCTAAGGAGAGGTTGTAAATTCAAACACTTGAGAAAGATAATACAGGTAGTCCAACACTTAAAGGAGTATGACTTGTGGGGTTGATAACGTGTATTGTAAACGTTATCGGTGAACGTTGAAAGTCGTTATTGTGTAGTTCATGTTGATATAGTTGAGATCTCCTCGAGATGAGGAGCGAAGACGTAGGTCGTGAGTTAACCGAACTCTGTGATCAGTTCTTATTGTTTGCGATTTCTGTTTTTGGCGCACTATTTCTCTTTATATCTTGTGCTTATTGTTTATACCGCCTATTGTATAATTGTTTATCCTTGTATATCCTCTTGCATATTATATTGTCAAGGATTTTTCATTATTAGTTTTAATTTGGCATCTAAATCCGATTAGATTAGCAATTACCCTATTCATCCCCCTAGGGTATTTTTAATTAGTATCATAGCTTGGTGCTCTTGATTTGTGGCTTAATCACCTAGAGTCAAAGATCCTCGCTCTATATTTTACTAATCTAGTTTTGTGATTTTCATTGCTTGCATAGTCTTCATGGATATACACGGTGCATAATCAAAAGGTCATCATAAATAAGTGCATCCATTCCATTGCACTTATCGCAAGAGGATGAGTCATTTGCGTAATTATTGCTAAGACCGGATACGTGCACAAAACACCCCCAAATGGGGTCATAACCCAAGGACCTTGGATTTCATTGATAGGGGTCATGTCCCTAAACTCTTCGGCATCAAGAGTGTTTGGGTGTCAAAATATGTTTGATTTTAAAGAACAAGTTTTTAGCGTTTCTCTTTTTCATTTCTTTTTGGAAAACGTGTTTACAAAACTTATTTTCTAAAAATTTTGGAAATTTTACCCAAATGGTTGATTTTGTTTACATATATTGATCAAACTATTTTTGGAAATTTATTTATTTTTTATAATATGAATTTTATTCGTTTTGATTTTGATGAGAGGTTTATGTCGAGCAACCACCGGGATTTATTGATCTTTTTTTTTTTCAAATCATGTTTATTGGATGCAAAAAGCTTTATAGGGGTTGAAACAAGCTCCAAGAGCTTGGTATGCTCAAATTTTCTTATCGAGTATAGTACAATTAATCTTTGTTTGTTTTATCCAAGCATACTTCTTTTTTATCTTTATGGATGAAACACATAAATGTTCGATGTGTCCCTTATTCATTTTGATAAAATATCTTTATTAGCGGATATCTTTACCAAACCTCTTTGCGAAGAAACTTTTTTTGTCATTTAAGAGGTGAATTGGGCATGTTTATCACTTGAATCATGTTTGCTTGATCATTTCTTTATCCTGTTCAAAAATGATATTTCATGATCTCTTTATCCTTGATTCGTGTTTGCTTGATCATTTATTTCTCTTCTAACAATGATGTTTTTTTTACAATCCTTTGATTCATCTTTGCATTTTGTTGGTTTGGTTAAAAAAAATCTTATCTTGAATTAACTATCTATTCTGGACATGATCAGTCGACTGAACATGCACATCAGTTGACTGAAACATGCACATCAGTTGACTGGTTGAAAATCAGTCGACTGACCAGCCTCAATTTTCAAGTCCTTGTGTACCCCATTTTCTTTATCTTTTTCAAAAATGATGCTTTTATGATTATTGGCTTTCATAGATTCATGAATTTTCATGATTTTCTTTTATGAATTTTCATAAATGCTTTCATAATTATTTTCATGATTCTCTTTTATTTGGATTTCCTTTTGGTATATGATTTGCCCTCATTTGAAAATATCTTTTCTTGATTTTTTTTTTCATTTGGATTCATGATTATCTTTCATGGATTTTCATAAATATTTCCAGATAACGCTTTGGATCCTCGTTTTGTTGAAGTTTTATTTTTTAAACTTAGACATTTTTTATGTATTGAGACATTTTTTATGATATATATATGTGTCTCATTGAGTGTGAGTTATCATAATTTTTTTTCTCATATCTGTATCTCATATAATCACATATATTTTTATATATGACTACTGTTCTATCTCTCTTTCCTATTTTTTTGTGGATGTGAAAGGGGGAGAAGAACTATGTGATATATGTCTATGTGATATGTGTGAGTTATGATATATATATGTGTATGTTTACTCACATATAGTTTGCTTTAGTATTTCATTTGATTTATGCTTTGAGGCATTTTAATTTTTTTCCCTATTTTGTTTATACTCACTGTGCTTATATGTAGGGGGAGTTTTCGCTCTCTTTCTTCCTATTGTTTTCTTCATTTTGATGTTGATAAAAGGGGAGAAACAAGTGTATTGTGAGTATCTCGTTTCCTTATTGCCTACTATTAGTATCATGCATGAGGATTAAAAATTATGTATTCATTTTGTATCATGCATATTTCCTATATTTATTGTGTAGATTGTTTGTCATCATCAAAAATGGGGGAGATTGTTAGGTCGCATGTTTATGAACTCATTGTCTAATCTGGTTTTAATGATTAACGAATAATTCCTAACAACGTTTTTCAAGTATTTGCATTTGCTTGTTAGGTATCCTACACAAACATCCTTCGGTCGGAGGTTGGCTGGATTTGCGCCTTACCGACGATATTTTGGAGGTTAGTGGAAATTCGAATGAAGCCCTTGCACTCAAGTCAAAGTCTCACTATCATGCTTCATCTTGCAACCAAGATTGAGCATCAATGAAGATCATTAGCTTGGTATAGTGTTTTTAGTTTACTTGTGTACTCTATGTGTTTATACTTTAAGCTCAAATCATACACGTACACGTTTTCTCAATTTATCGTATCATACATCCATTTGAGAATATATTGTGTTTTTGGATTATAGACTTAATGATATCATTTTACATCTTTTCAAAAGTCTATTAATCTATCTCAAAACTTGTTTGGAATGAGTTCATCAAAATCGAGCATTTAACGACTCTGTATTTTGACGATTTTCAAAACGATGAGTTTTCACAAATGGGAAATGTTATTTTAGAATTTCCTTTTCCAACATGTTTATTTTCACATATATAAACATTTCCCCAAGTTTTACTATTTTTGGAGTTGGTTTGCTATTTTAAAACAAATTTAGAAAATTAAGTTTTTAGCAATTTCGGTATCTGAAATATCAGTCTTCGGTCGACCGATAGAAGAGATTAATTGACCGACCGGAGCAGTTTTTACAGCCTGAGTTTTACAGTCTAATCAGTGGATCGATTGCTTAGATCAGTCGACCGATCAACAGTAAAATTACTGTAACGGCTAGTTTATGTCTCTTGTTGTTTGAGAGGCTATAAAAAGCCCTCAAGGCTCGTTTCTTTTTCATGGATGTTTAACTGAGTTTTTTGACAGTTTGTTTCAAGAGTTTAAGTACGGTTTGGTTTATGCAAAAAGAATTTTACAAAGAGAATGCTTTCAATTTCGAATTTGAGGAGTTCAACCTCAAATCTCTATATCTACATATCTTTGTTTAGAGAAGTTTTTCTAAACTCATTCTCTAGCTAATTTATATTTTGATTATCATATATAAGCTAGATTTACTTGAGTTTAATTTTCATTTTACTTATTGTTTTCACACACACTACTTAAGCTTTAGTATTTCACATTAAGTATATTTTGGTTGTGAGAATGATTCCTTAAGAGAACTTACATTTCTTTCTCATTTTTAAAGGCCGATGGAAAATTGGAGATTGGTGACAACAAAGATATCGTTGGTCCATTGTTCATGTAATAATAATATGGTTTGCAATACGGCTTGGGTAATAGGTTATTGCTAAAAATTTAACACGGTGTGCATCAATAATTCGTTCCCTTTTAATTCGGCTTTTGCAAAGCTAATATCAAACAAGCCACGGCGGCTATACTTCCCTCCAAGTTCTTGATTAAAATAACAATAATAATAATTTAATTCAGCGCTCAATATTCGATTTTATGAGCTTTGCTATAGGAACCCAAAATATGGGACCAATCGGGGGGACCGGTGAGGTGTCTCCCTCATATTGCATAATGAGCTGGCCATCATTAATGATGGCCAGCTCATTATGTAATAGGAGGGGAACACCTCACCTGTCATGAACTCATTCAATTTTACCTCTTTGCTCAACAATTGTTCCCTACCTTAGATCCAAAACGCAACAATAAGCCAGCTGAACTCCTCCACTTTTATCCACTTCCCACCTTTCCCCTATATATACGCACCTCTTCATAGTTATGAAGATCAACAAAAATCAAAAGAAAATGTCCTTTCTCGAAAGATTACCTCATTTACAGTAACAAGTAAAGACTACTATATTATGCAACTCTTCTTCAAAAATCTAGACCCTATTGCATTGACTCGACAACAAGGAGCTAGCAGTGGGCAGCATTCCAAGTCCTCACCTTTTTGTACAACTATACGAGAGAGATCAATGTTGATGACTCCCGGTGAGATCTGCCAGTTTAATCTTCCCACAATTCCCTGTGTCGAGCCGATCAAACTGTTCACAAATTTGTAGAATGTCTTTTTCTGCAATTTTACCCATCACTTTGAGCTTGTATATTACAAACTCAGATTTACTGCACAACATAAAAAATAAGAAGAAGATTTAGATCCAAATACAAATGATCCAAGCTAGCATATTGCAACATAGAAGTTAAAGAGCATATCTTCTTGTACTAAGATACTTAAAGATAAGTTCGCCTACTATATTTACCTACTTTGTACTGCAATTAGGGGCCTAAATACATATTCAGAACTCGAACCCGCTCTATACCCAAATCTTTTTGAGCAAATGTGACTAGTAAAAGTCAATATTTGTATCATTTAATATATGCTCCCTCTACTATTTGTTCTACATATTATATTACTAACACATATATGCAATAAAAACAATATGTGACTAATGCTCTATGACTTGTTAGTGTACTCTCTTACAATTTGATGTTATAAGCATCAAATATGACGAGTTTATTTAGAAATTGTTATTTCTTAGAATTATTTAGAACACTATTTTTATGTATGAGTCTAATATCAGTATATCAAATTCAAATAGCGATCACTATTTTTTGATTCAAGTTATGACACTACTATATCTGCTTGCTATTTACACCCTAACTACAATCCAAATTGTTTTAATCTTTGGATATTTGTCAGTGTCGCATTTACCGAAGAAGTCTGGCAAGCAACTAATTTGAAGTATGTAAGAATTGATAAGCTTTAGCATAACCGTTACACAATAATATCTCTAGTGTATGTCCACCATTCGCCGTGTCTGACCCGGCCACAACGGGGGAGCAGGCGATCAGTAGGGATGCTTGCTTCTCTGGCTTTTTGGATTCTTTGGGATTTTTGTGCACAGATAGAGTCCTCTTACGAACTTGCATACAGTTTTTTGTGTTAAACTATACTGTTGTGGGCTGTTAACTTTTCTCCTCATTGTATATTCTTTTGTATATCCATGGGTGATTTTGCTTTGCTCAGTTATTGTGTAGAGTGACGACATAGGTCCGCTCCTCTACCAATTTAGGAACTATCGTTAAATCACTTCTAGATATAAATATATGTAAATACTCTAACTTCTTAATTTTATACAATGATAGGGCGTCTTGCGCTATTTTTACTTCAAAAAAACAATATCTCTAGTTTGTCATACTGAGTCTGTTCTTCTATTTATTAAGGTCATATCATGTATATATCAAATCATTCATTATAAATTGTTGTTATCCTCCCAAATTACTAAATTGTTAGCTCAGGACCGCTAGAGCTGACAATACTAGATATTTAATCCATTAAGAAATTGTCCATAGCTTCCAATACTGCATGCCATTCTATTCTTTTATCCTATGTTCTTAAAAAAAATTAAAACAATTTGTGAGAGACTCTGCTACAGTGAGATTATATGCATAAAAGAAACACTAGAGGCACACCCTTGGACACAATCCCAACCACACCCCCTCACCTGCTACAGTGCAGGGGCCCCACATGGGATTTTAAAAAAAAATCCCATGTGGGGCCCCTGCACTGTAGCAGGTGAGGGGGTGTGGTTGGGATTGTGTCCAAGGGTGTGCCTCTAGTGTTTCTTTTATGCATATAATCTCACTGTAGCAGAGTCTCTCACAAATTGTTTTAATTTTTTTTAAGAACATAGGATAAAAGAATAGAATGGCATGCAGTATTGGAAGCTATGGACAATTTCTTAATGGATTAAATATCTAGTATTGTCAGCTCTAGCGGTCCTGAGCTAACAATTTAGTAATTTGGGAGGATAACAACAATTTATAATGAATGATTTGATATATACATGATATGACCTTAATAAATAGAAGAACAGACTCAGTATGACAAACTAGAGATATTGTTTTTTTGAAGTAAAAATAGCGCAAGACGCCCTATCATTGTATAAAATTAAGAAGTTAGAGTATTTACATATATTTATATCTAGAAGTGATTTAACGATAGTTCCTAAATTGGTAGAGGAGCGGACCTATGTCGTCACTCTACACAATAACTGAGCAAAGCAAAATCACCCATGGATATACAAAAGAATATACAATGAGGAGAAAAGTTAACAGCCCACAACAGTATAGTTTAACACAAAAAACTGTATGCAAGTTCGTAAGAGGACTCTATCTGTGCACAAAAATCCCAAAGAATCCAAAAAGCCAGAGAAGCAAGCATCCCTACTGATCGCCTGCTCCCCCGTTGTGGCCGGGTCAGACACGGCGAATGGTGGACATACACTAGAGATATTATTGTGTAACGGTTATGCTAAAGCTTATCAATTCTTACATACTTCAAATTAGTTGCTTGCCAGACTTCTTCGGTAAATGCGACACTGACAAATATCCAAAGATTAAAACAATTTGGATTGTAGTTAGGGTGTAAATAGCAAGCAGATATAGTAGTGTCATAACTTGAATCAAAAAATAGTGATCGCTATTTGAATTTGATATACTGATATTAGACTCATACATAAAAATAGTGTTCTAAATAATTCTAAGAAATAACAATTTCTAAATAAACTCGTCATATTTGATGCTTATAACATCAAATTGTAAGAGAGTACACTAACAAGTCATAGAGCATTAGTCACATATTGTTTTTATTGCATATATGTGTTAGTAATATAATATGTAGAACAAATAGTAGAGGGAGCATATATTAAATGATACAAATATTGACTTTTACTAGTCACATTTGCTCAAAAAGATTTGGGTATAGAGCGGGTTCGAGTTCTGAATATGTATTTAGGCCCCTAATTGCAGTACAAAGTAGGTAAATATAGTAGGCGAACTTATCTTTAAGTATCTTAGTACAAGAAGATATGCTCTTTAACTTCTATGTTGCAATATGCTAGCTTGGATCATTTGTATTTGGATCTAAATCTTCTTCTTATTTTTTATGTTGTGCAGTAAATCTGAGTTTGTAATATACAAGCTCAAAGTGATGGGTAAAATTGCAGAAAAAGACATTCTACAAATTTGTGAACAGTTTGATCGGCTCGACACAGGGAATTGTGGGAAGATTAAACTGGCAGATCTCACCGGGAGTCATCAACATTGATCTCTCTCGTATAGTTGTACAAAAAGGTGAGGACTTGGAATGCTGCCCACTGCTAGCTCCTTGTTGTCGAGTCAATGCAATAGGGTCTAGATTTTTGAAGAAGAGTTGCATAATATAGTAGTCTTTACTTGTTACTGTAAATGAGGTAATCTTTCGAGAAAGGACATTTTCTTTTGATTTTTGTTGATCTTCATAACTATGAAGAGGTGCGTATATATAGGGGAAAGGTGGGAAGTGGATAAAAGTGGAGGAGTTCAGCTGGCTTATTGTTGCGTTTTGGATCTAAGGTAGGGAACAATTGTTGAGCAAAGAGGTAAAATTGAATGAGTTCATGACAGGTGAGGTGTTCCCCTCCTATTACATAATGAGCTGGCCATCATTAATGATGGCCAGCTCATTATGGAGGAGCAATTCATAGCAAGAGTAGGCAAGTGGACAGCTTCATTGTTTATATTTGTTATCCATTAGCGTCGGCTGGAGGTTAATTACAAAAGAAAGGGAGGAAGAACACTTAGAAGGTTAGACCCTGAAAAATTTTGCCCTCAATTATATCCAACCATGAAAAGGTTCCTGCGTGCCTTTATTTAGAGGTTTAGATTTCAAACATTAGGGGGCCAAGTCCTGTTTGTTCAATCATATCTTGCTCCAAAATTAGGAGACCATCAAGTGCAAACTTTGAACATGAGAGGGAGCAACAACAATTCAAATATTTTATTTGAGATGGAACTGATATTATGTTGGCACTTCTTATCAACGTTACACCCCTATGGATGATTGTTTAGTCAGGCAACTTTTTATGAGCTTTCATGAAAGTAATAGATGATAACTATTGAATATGATACTTGGTTATATTGGAGGCTACATTATTCCAGAGCAGACACTTAACATTCCTAATATTTCCATTGACTGTGCAGTGTTGCATCTTTATTGTCTGTAGCATTCATAATATCTGTTGGTATAGCTGTATACCTTTTATTTATTCCGAGCCAACCACCTGCTTGAGTCTTTAGTAGTAATGACACTCCCCAGAATCTTAGGTTCACCACCATTTAGACAATCTTGACCTATAAAATCTGGTATTTAATTTTTTTCCCCTTTATCAAAAGACACTGAACCCTTCTTGAGAGTTCTGTTCATGCAATTGTAAATGGTGGGCTGCAATTTTCTGGCTAGCTAATACTGTGAGCTTTATGCATAGAGTGGCACTAGAGGCACACCATTGGACACAATCCCAACCACACCCCCTCACCTGCTACAGTGCAGGGGCCCCACATGGGATTTTAAAAAAAAATCCCATGTGGGGCCCCTGCACTGTAGCAGGTGAGGGGGTGTGGTTGGGATTGTGTCCAATGGTGTGCCTCTAGTGCCACTCTATGCATAAAGCTCACAGTATTAGCTAGCCAGAAAATTGCAGCCCACCATTTACAATTGCATGAACAGAACTCTCAAGAAGGGTTCAGTGTCTTTTGATAAAGGGGAAAAAAATTAAATACCAGATTTTATAGGTCAAGATTGTCTAAATGGTGGTGAACCTAAGATTCTGGGGAGTGTCATTACTACTAAAGACTCAAGCAGGTGGTTGGCTCGGAATAAATAAAAGGTATACAGCTATACCAACAGATATTATGAATGCTACAGACAATAAAGATGCAACACTGCACAGTCAATGGAAATATTAGGAATGTTAAGTGTCTGCTCTGGAATAATGTAGCCTCCAATATAACCAAGTATCATATTCAATAGTTATCATCTATTACTTTCATGAAAGCTCATAAAAAGTTGCCTGACTAAACAATCATCCATAGGGGTGTAACGTTGATAAGAAGTGCCAACATAATATCAGTTCCATCTCAAATAAAATATTTGAATTGTTGTTGCTCCCTCTCATGTTCAAAGTTTGCACTTGATGGTCTCCTAATTTTGGAGCAAGATATGATTGAACAAACAGGACTTGGCCCCCTAATGTTTGAAATCTAAACCTCTAAATAAAGGCACGCAGGAACCTTTTCATGGTTGGATATAATTGAGGGCAAAATTTTTCAGGGTCTAACCTTCTAAGTGTTCTTCCTCCCTTTCTTTTGTAATTAACCTCCAGCCGACGCTAATGGATAACAAATATAAACAATGAAGCTGTCCACTTGCCTACTCTTGCTATGAATTGCTCCTCCCATCTAAGAGTGGGATATCAAGTATATCTTATAAAAATTGATTTCTCTTAAAAGGTGAGTCCGTAGCTCATAGAAACGGATAAGATCTTTATGCAACAACACCCTTCCAACTATCCCCAATTTGAACAGGAAGAAATAAACAGTACCTAGGTTTTACATAACAATCTTAAATGGCACATAACAATCTTAAATGGCAAGGTTTTATATAACAATCTTAAACATCTTGTTCGTAGAATAAGATTTATAGATTCGTATGCCATTTGAGCACATTATTCATTTTATTTTAAGTAAATTGCACATGGACTCTTGGTGGAGTTTTAATGTATATTGCCAGGGTGAAATTAGTGAGTCTATCTGAGGGTAAAAGAGTAAAAAAAATTAATTCAAGTGTCTATCTGCAAAACAGGAAACTACATCGACAGTAGGTCCAAAAGAGCGATAGTACATGGGGTTGATGCACAGTTAGGGCCCGTTTGGTTCCAATTTTTTTTGGTGAATCCCTGACACAGCCCCTGTTTTCTGTCAGAAATCACCCCAAAACGCCATTTTTTGGGGCGATTTGGGGTGAAACCTGCCACAGATGGGACACTGTGGCAGGCTTTCCCCTGTTTTCACCCTAAAAAAATCGTTACCAAACAGCCCCTTAACCATTTTATTTTCAGTGGAACTTTGGAACTATGCAATTTTACCTTTTTTGAAAGATAATCTATAATTTTAAGAGCAAAAAAGATCAATTACTCACCTCACAAATCCATTATGATCCATATCTGCGGCAAGAAACTCCGACACAGTCAAATTCCTAGCCAAAACCCATTTAGCAATCTTCCTATGTCTCTTATCAATCCTCGCCTCTGCCAAATACAAGAATGCTCTAGCCACTGCCAGCGTCGACACCAACAACCAAACCGATGCAAACAATCTCCCGGGCATCGTCTTAAACGCCCGATCCCCGTAACCAACCGTAGTCACCGACATCACTGACAAATAGAAGGAATCCAACCACCCAAGCGCCTCGACAAACCTCAGCACGGCAGTCCCTAGCCCAATGCAGAGAAATACAACAGCTAGTGCGAGTCCGACCTATAGAGAAACAGAATGAGCATGTTTTCAAATTAAAAAAGAAAAGAGCAATAAACATATAGATACCAATGAATTTCTAGCTTTTTTTCACCTCTTCATCACAACATATATACATCTTGTTTTATTAGCATCAATCGCACATAAGACTTAGTCAGGTGGCAGCTAGATCCTTTTATGTTTGATATTGACAGATCCCCTGCACTCAACTGAATGTCATCCTCATCCACGCCTTCTCTCAATTGGATCAGCGGCATTCAATTTAGTTCCAGGGTCTCTCTGCCGATATAAAATTTAAAAGGCAATAAGTGGCGCAATGCAATGTTACAAGAGTTTATGTTCAATTAACACTTTTTACTGTCAATAAATCTCAAACTAGCTTTGTTCTTCCTAAAAATAATCTACGTTTCAGTTGATCAATAAGAATTTGTTTGACTCCCATCTGTAATTAATGGTCTGCTTCATCATGTTTTTTGACCAAAATATCCTCGATTTTCCCTAATTTTTAATATTATCATTTAGAGTTACAATTAAATTCTATTCGATTGAAACCTAAAACTAGAATCTTACTCTTACCCCTCTTTTCAATCTTCTTCTCTTGCTCCTCCTCTTGTCTTCCCCACCTCATTCGGAATCCAATTGCAAGATCTCTTAAAAAGCAACATAAAAAATTGAAAACCCAGCTGGACATGTGAAAATCTGCCCCTCCCATTCAATCTCGAAGTCGAATTAAAAAACTTGTAACACAAAAAAACCTACGCCTTAATATCATCTCGTCGCGATTCTATACGAAATTCTTCAAAGTTTTCACAATTTAAATGAAAGGACGTCAATGGATTAATTAACAATCTTTCTTTCTTTCTTTAAAAAAAAGAAAAAAAAAATGGGCATGTTCTGACCTTCATTCGGATCCGCATCCGGCCCTTCTTAACGTCGACGAGATAATTGCGGCGTTGGGTCGCAGAGTGAGTGCTGGAGGAGAGGAGGAGAGATTCTTGAAGGTCAAGAACGTACGAGACCATAGACGACAAAAGTATATCAATGAATCCGAATCCAAAAAGAACAAAGGTGACGGAGAAGAGCTTGGAGAAAGGGGTCGTCGGCGTGATGTCCCCGTACCCAATAGTGCACATTGTGACGATACAGAAGTAGAGGGCGTCGACGACGGGGTGAGTAGCTGCGGAGGCGAAGTGGGAGGAGAAGAGCGAGTAAACGACGACGCCGAGGACGAGGTAGAGGGACAGGAGGAGGAAGGCGTAGCTGAGGTTATGTTTGTGGTGGCCATTTAGATATCAATGCTGAAGAGTATGACGTTTTGAAGAAATGGAAGAGCTACACTCATCGCGATCACCCTGCAGTGGTCCAGGTAAAATATAACAAAACTCCCCCTAACTTTGGAGATTACCAAATAACATTCTATAACTTTCAAAATATCCATTAATCCTCCTTAAGCATAGGGATCATCGGAAAACTACCCCTTCAAATTTAAGGATTTGTTAGAAAACCCCTTCAATTTTGAGATTTTATTAGAACCCCCGCCCCCCTAAAAGTATCGTCATTGGGGAGTTTTTTTGATAAAATCTCAAATTTAAAGGGAATTTTCTGATAACCCCAAAACATAAGTGGGTTTACTAATATTTTCAAAGAGGGTTATCAGATAATCATCCAAACTTAGGGGTTTTTCTAATATCTAGCCAATTTTGATATGTTAGCATGTTCTTTCAAATTTTCTCAAAATTTTTTGATAAAATCAACTAATGAACTGATATAACACGCTTTGATGCAAGGATTTTGTTGTTAAATTTTGTATGTATGAAGACTTGTTTAGTACCTCATCGGATAGAATAGCACAACATATTCTATTTACATTGTACGAGGAGAGTGTAAACATCGAGAGAAAACTTGCAACATCAAGAATGATGATGAATATTTCAATGTGGGTTTGGTCGAATAATCAGAGTGGAGGTTGAGGCGAGATCACATTGGGTTTTTTTCCCTTCAAAGAGATCTAAAATCTAGGAGGATCTCGTGCAAAATGAGTTTTCGGAAGAGGGGGAGGGAGTCAGCAGTTGTTTTCGGAAGACTTGGTGGGGTCGCCGAAGATGAGGCGGTCTTTGAAGGAGGCGGCGGGGGATTGGGCGGAGGAGGAGGAGGAGATGGGGACGGAGATCTCGTTGTGTTCGGGGAGAGGGCAGAGAGGGGAGGAAGGGGAAGTGGAGAGGAAGTGTTTTCTGATGAGGGAGGAAGTGGGGGATTTGGGGGAGCTTGGGGAGAAGAGAAGAGGCTCTTTCTCCATTTTTCTTTTTCTTTTTAATTTAATTTAACCTTTTTTTTTTAATTTTTCGCTCAGTTCCAAGTTTTCGGGGAGAGGAGGAAAATTTTCATGGTGGATGTTTGAGGTTGGGAGGAGAAGAAGGGAGAGGGGATTTTAGAGGGGAAAGAAGAAGGGAGCTTTTGGGGTTTGGATTTATACAGTTTATTATTGAGTTTTGTTTGGGCATTTCAAAGGGGGAGTACGGGACACGGCATGACGTGCTGCAGTCTGACCGAGATTTTCGGTGCGTGTTGAGATTTGGGATTTTGGAAAGATGCAGCTCTTTGGAGCTATAATTATAAATATTAATAAGAGATATTCATTCAAACGTTTTATTATTTGTAAGTTCTAATTTTACTTTTCTTTCTCTTTCTCACAACAAAACCCGGCAATCCATCAATGAGGATGAGAGTGCAAAAAGTAAATCCCCTTTTTTCTCTTTTTTTTTTCTTTTTTAAATTTGCAAGTACGGTAGAGGGGGAGCTTCGAACAAAAACATAAAGAGTTTTTATATCAAAATCATATTTACTTTTATCCAAAGTGATGCTTACCATCTTTAAATTTTTTTATGTAAATAGGATTTACTTGCCAACTGTTAATGTTGGTTATCTAACAACAGGTTTAGTTGTGGATTAAAGTAGAGTTAAGGTCATCAAACTCCTTGAGATGATTGGCTTTGTAGGTCGCTTTTCTTCCCTGCATACCAAGAACTCGTAAGAGGTTGTAGTTGGGTTCTCTGGTTGTTCCTTCGACGATCACGTCAGTATATGAACTCGAGTGGGAAAATGTGAGTTGAAGAAAATCTTCGGTTGTTCCTCGCATTTTAGAATTGGAACCGGGAAGTGACCCTCGTGCTTTAGAATTGGAACGCGGAGGTGACCCTCAGGTTTTGGAATTAGCGCGCGGGGGGTGGACCCTCACGTTTTGCTTTTAAAGAGATCGTTAATTGTAATCTCTTTTTTAAGTTCTACAAAGATAGTCATCTTGTAATCCTTATATTTGGCTCTTTGAAAATGTAAGAGTCATCAATTTGTAACTCTCGTCTGTTTTTGTGAAAGTCGTCAGGTTGTAACTTTCGTCTGTTGCCGTGAAAGTCGTCAGATTATAACTTTCATCGTCAACATTTTACGAGGACCAGCTATCTGTAGTAATTTTTAGACAGTCTACACTTAGTACTAATGGAGCCTAATGAGTTATAAAGACTTTTGGGGTTGGAGCAATGATAATTTTTGACCATGTATTTAATGTGATAGTGACTAGCCTTGTCCAAACGGGACGGCAAGGGCCTGAGCGGGCCGGGCACCGGGGCCGGCCCAATTTTTATTTTTGTTTTATTTTCAAGAATACATAACAAAAAATTAAATAAAATTTTGATAAAAACAATCATATTATTAATCACTTGTAATTGTATAATATACAAATACAAAAAACCATAGAAATTAAAATGATAAAAATAACTTCTTTATTAATAATCAGTTAATTATCTATAATTATAAATTTATTTTGGAATTCATCGCATCACAATAGGTGAATACATCCCAACTAGATTGACACCTACTCATCTACATTACTATCATTTGTAACTTTTTTAAAAATAATTTATCACAAATTTTTAGCAAAAAATAAAAATTACAAACTGATGAATAATATCTACTCTTCATCTCTATCTGGTAGTCCTAACTCTTCAAATTTATCTTCAATACCAGTCATCCGATCGATGCCTTACGTTCTCTTCTCGTACCTCCACCAATTTTGTAGGCACATTACCACTTATATGGTATACGGAGATAACGATGTCCTGTGGTCGTCGATCAAACATCTTGCTATGCTGAAGGCGGATTCCGAAGCTACCGTGGAAACCTGCACTGTTAGTAAGTCACGAGGCATGATGGAAAGTATAGGATATGAAATTGTTTCATATACTTTCCACCATTGCAAAGTATCGAAACTATTATTTTGATATTTAACTAAAGATGTTGTTATGGTGTTCACTCATCCAAGATACAGATATTTGCAAAATAATACAATGAGAGTTCTAGCAAAACAAACTCAACCCTTTGGCCGACTCCCACATTCGTCTCTCGGCCTTAGGGGAAGGAGAGCCCTAGTCAACTCTCAAAAGTTCTAGGCATTTGATTCCTTAGTTGAATTACAAGCTCTTGGCTCTTTATCAAGGTAAGCCCAATGCACAATTACAGATGACTCGGCCCCCACCGACTCATCAAGTTGACTCTCTGGTATCAACACCAAAGGCGATATTGGCCGGCACGAGAGATCCTAACCTCCCATACGAGTCGACATCTTTATATCGACTCAATAGACGATTATTAGCTGAGATGAGATAACATTCCAACCAGTCGAACATGCTGATATTCTTGAGTCAACGCGAAAGGCGGTGTCGGTCGACCCTATCATCAATGATGATCCTACTTAGGGCACTCGACCACTCACTGGGTAATTCTTAGAAGCAACTGGAGGGACATCCCTGTTTGCGTCAGGAATAGATTCTGTTGTAGAATTCATTATAACTGTTTATCGATTACAATGAATACAAAGGAGTAAGTTTCGTACTTTGTAAAACTACTCTTTACAACAAAAATCAAATTACAAACTCCTTAGAAACAAACGCAGGATCATTGTTTGGATCGCTGCTTGCGCGTGATCTTTGCCTGTGCCGGGAGTGCTTTGACTCGTGGACCACCAAATCACAGATTGTGAAGGGGTTTAGAGATTCTTCCTTCGTTTATCGAAGTAGGAATTTGAAGTGAATATCTTATCAAAGTAAGACGATCACTCTTCTTAAGATCAAGTAAAAGCTCGAATCTCAAGGAATCATACGAGGAACTCAATTCTTGTTGTTTTCTCTCTGTTCTCTATGCTCAGATCTGCTCCAATTTGCTCGATCCTCTTAAAAATGCTCTAAAATGCTCTCGAATTTGATGAAGACCCTCTCTCTCTCTCTTGAGAAGAACGCCTTAAAATGCTCTCCCCTTTTGTAACCGCTGTCCCACTATTTAAATACCATCTTTTTATGAAGTTAGTGGGGGTATTTTCAGTTTGTAACTGTCTCCCACGTTCTTTAACAGTGAATGTCCACGTGTCTTGGCAGTTTCTGAACTCCTCTGGACTGTCTGGCGTGCGAGATAGTAAAACACTGTCTGGCGAGACAGTAAAACACTGTCCGGTAAAACACTGTCTGGCGAGATAGTAAAACACTGTCTGGCGAGACAGTAAAACACTGTCTGGCGAGACAGTAAAACACTGTCTGGCGAGATAGTAAAACACTGTCTGGAGAGATAGTAAAACACTATCTGGCGAGACAGTAAAACACTGTCTAGAGAGACAGTAAAACACTATCTAGCGAGACAGTAAAACACTGTCTGGCGCCCGAGACAGCAAACACATGTTTCTTGTGTTCTTTTGATCTTTGGATGATCTCCTCTTAAGCTGTATTTGAATATCTTTCAGTATTTTTTGACGCCTACAGATACCCCCTCCAAAGTATTCCAGACTTATTCCTTTATAGAGGAGTCTGGGACACTTTGGATAAGACGGGTCTAACTTACACTCCTTTCAATACTTGGTTGAATAAATCGTGTAGAAGGACCCGTAAATGGCTTTAATTCTTGACCTCTTTATCTCTCAATCTATTCAGTGCTTTGTAGAATAGCTAAGATTCTTCCGGTACTACGTTTATCGCTTGACCATTGTCGAGATTTTGAATCGAAGCTGGTATTTGTACTTGTGAGTTCAGCTTTTGTCATCAAATTGATACTTATACACCCGTTAAGAGTTCATCAGGTTATTCTTAAGAATATTTAGAGTAATATTCTCCAGAAACTTCCTGTTGAGGGTAGGGAAACAGTTTAGACTCGTGTACCTATTGGAGTATCATTGTCTCTTTTTTTGTTGGTAGAGATGAACCCGACCCTGGAGAGGAAGAATTTTATATTCTATCTCCTGGTCTATTTTTTGTTGGTAGAGATGAATCCGAAATCGGAGAGAAAGAATTTTATATTCTATCTCTCAATCTCTTGTTTGTTGGTAGAGATGAATCCAAAATCGGAGAGGAAGAATTTTATATTCTATCTCCTGGTCTCTTATTTGTTGGTAGAGATAAACCCAAAATCGGAGAGGAAGAATTTTATATTCTATCTCCTGATGCAAAAGGAACTCAAAGTAGGATCTCTACTTCAAGAATCTGAAGGGTGAGACTAAGAGTGTGATCTCCACTCCAAGAATCGAGAAGATTTAGATAACCCTAACCGTTTAAAGGTTTGATTATCCAATCTAAAAGAGGATTTCTCATTTATCGAGATGGAATTTCAACTTTGGTCCTAACTGTTTAAAGGTTTGACCGAGTGGGGAATGTGTGGAAACCTTTCATTTATCGAGAGGTGATTCCGATTTTGGTTCTAACTGTTTAAAGGTTTGACCAAATGGGAGTTTGAGACGATCCTATATGTTTAAAGGTTTGATCGTTCAATTTGTGGACCTCTCGTTCATGGAAGGAATCGAGAGG